AGACTCACCAACAGGTGTAGAAACACTGAAGGGCTCAAGAAGTTTCTCAGGAAGAACATCAAAATTCATCGCAACATAAGGAGTCATAAATGATAAACTCGCTCCCTAATCTAGCAAAGCATATACATCAAAATTAAAGATTTGGATAATACCAATGACAACATATGGCGAATCCTCTTTCTCTTGGCAACTAGTGATAGCATACGGACGGTTTCCTCCTCCGCCTGCCCTTGAAGTAGCTCCTCTAGATGCAGCTCTGTCTGGTGGAGCTATTGAAGAAGATTGGACTCTATTTCCCCCATTACCATTACCTTGTCTGTTCTTAGGACACTCTTTCATAAAATTACAATTCTGACCATACTTGAAGAAACCAGTGAGCTATCACAACACACCTCTGAGTGGCTCCTACCACACTTAGCACATGCAGGAGTCCTATTACCTCATTGTGCCACACTACCTTGAGACTCTGCAGGTCTAGCTCTGAAATTCTGAATGTGGAACTCACATTTGTTTCTTGGTGCAGGTGCACCAGCAGATGATGGAGCAGGTCCCTTTTGTTTATGTTGGAAAGTTAACCAGTTGGCATTACACTTCTGCTACCCGGACTCATTCCATGTCTTAGCTCTCACTACAACAAATGTGATTATCAAGGACAAATAATTTTGTCATTAATAAATCATATTTCGTCACTAAAAATCTTGTGTGACGAAAAAAAATTCGTCAAGCAGTCGTCCCTAAATGTGCGTCTCTAAAATTATTCAAATACGATTTAGTGCTTCGTCGCTAAAAGTATTATATTAACTACAAAAAGAAGAATCATCGCCAAATGAATAATTATTTGTAACAAATTTATTTGTCATAAAAAGTATAATTTGTTTGTGGTTAATAGTATCTTTTGTCACTAAAAAGGTTATTATTACCGACAAAATTGTATTGTTGCTAATTAATTAGTTCAAACAGTGACGACATCAATTGTCTCTAAAGTTATATGTATTTCGTAGTTGAACAAATGTAATTTCGTTACTAATGACTACTTTTTATAGACAAAAAATTTTTTATCCTTAAATGTAAAAATTAGGGACAAATTTATTATTCTAAAAAGGGTAATAATTTTGTGGTTAAATCTATTCATTTTGTCAGTAAAAGTATTGTTTTTACCGACAACACATATTGTCACTATAAATTATCATAATTAGTGGCAATTATAATTGTCATAAAATAAAAAATTAATTCGTATTCAATAAAAAAAGGATAGTGGGACAAATATATTTTTGTCACTAAATGTAGTCAATTTATGTCAAATTTATTTATTTTGTGACAAAAATATTTTGCCTTAAAAAGCTTGATTTAGTCGTCGCTAAATGTTACCTTTAATGACAAAATAGTTTGTCACTAATTGCATTCATTGATGACATTTAATTATTTTATATTAGTGAAATTTTTTAAATTATAGAATTGCATAAATTAAAATTAAATAATAAAACATGCTAGATAATAATGAAATATATCCATTACAATTAAAAACAACTAAAATATCTTAAGGTACTTTAACAAGCTCCATGAACTAAAGAAAAATATGTCCAATAACAAGAAAATCTAACTGAAACAGAAGAAATATTACTCCTAAACCAAGACAGAAAAGTAGAAATTTCTTCCAAAGTATCAATAATATGGTGATACTTGTCTTGCATTAGTCTTGATTCAATTCTCACCTTTTATACCTGTGTAAAAGAGAGAAAAGAAATTCATAAGAGTTAATAAAAAGTAGAATCTGTAACACAATATCATTTTTCATATGTTGTAATGTCCTATTTTATGACCATTGCAAAAATAAATCATATAGAATGTGAAGCTATATATTAGCTATACATTTGCTATGATAAAACTCTCTATTTGTTTCAGGGCTTAGACTTAACATATTTTAACTGTATGAAATGTTTAAGCTTCTAAACTCACTGCTCATAATTCAAAGAATGAAATTTTTATTCTTCTATCTTGCAATAAGAGAGACATTCCTGCTGATATCTTTTTGTCCAAACCTGTCGACTACCACATTATCTGGTAATTAACTAGTTGACTTTGCCTTCACAAAGTAACACACCTCCAAGACAACTCTATGGAGTAATATCAACTTTAACAATAACAAGAATCTAAGGGGAATGTGTGACAACACCGGAGCATACAATAGCCCAAAATGAAGGAAAACATGACAACTTTAAAGGGGATCACTGATTGTATGATATGGAATGCAGATGCAGTGGCAAAGTATCTATGGAATACAGCCAACATGCTAATAACCTTTGAGTAAAATGGGTGAAAAGTGTATGTATAAAGGGGACTGATTAGTGGCAATATACACCTAGCAAGACAGTTGTTGGTAATGGATACTGTGAAAATGGATGGCTCAAGGCATTAGGGAAATAGTGAACTGCACCAGTGAAACTAGTCTGCTCAAACATGTTGTCATAGTAATCTTACTCTTTTTCAGAGAGCCACATTGAAAGGGCAATCAAAGCATCAGGGAGATCCTCAACGCCTTTTCCTTTAGGAAAATAAAATGGTGCAGGATCGCGGTATGCCAACATTTTATTAAGGACAAACTTAACACAAATTGGAACAAATTTAGCTTCAGTATCTCCTTGTACCTGCTGGTTAAGATCATACTGAATTTTCAGACCTAAGCCCCTATCTAACAAGGTGGTCTACGATCATTAAATCACTAGAAACAGGAGCAAGCTCTATGTTACCGCTAAACGATAAACCTAGGGGCAAAGTCTCCAAACAAGTCGTAACTTTTCAACAACAGATGCAAAAACATACTCTTTCAAATCAAAGTGGGCAGACTAGGATGAAGTTTAATGTAAAGTTGTTCCAAACAAATTCATGAGATAGTTTATTGATCTTCTTTTCTTTTTCATATCATCTGCTTTAAATTTGGTGTGCAGACTTGATGGGATAGAAAAATATATAATGGCTATCAATTATTATACAATAGATCTTTCACTTTGCTGGATCTTTTGTCCAGAGAAATGTAATTAGTCCTATCAAATTTTAAACATCAAGAATGACTTCGGCAAAAGAAAAGTTCTTAGGATAAGCTCATTTTACCATAAATTCCAAACTCTTCAAAAAGTAAAGTTCTTGCTATGACACTCGAACTCTTCAAAAATGTCCGATCCTCCAAAAGTAATGCATATTTGGAAGATTCGATACATCTGTAATAACATTTCTAGAGATTCCGAGCAACATAGGTTCTCAATATATGATCATCTTACCATAAATTCATTCAACACCATTTGGTATTTACTATTTGTACCCATCTTTCAAACAAAACTAAGCAGTATATTAATGGTAACTCAAAAGAGTCTAAAAAATAGTTAAAAGATTGTATTTTCGCAGCAGTTTTGATCAACCCATAAGAATAAGATTGACTTTTCCTTTTAGATCCATGAAAGAATGAAAAAAAAATGGAAGTTAGTAGTAAGTGCAAGAAAGAAGCTATAAGAAGAGAAGGTGAATTAAGGATTCGTTAACAAAAGAAGAGCAAGTCAAACTCAGAATGTTGAATGAGAGGAAGAAGACAGAATGCTATGCCAATGATATTGGAAATAATGTATGGCTCCTTCACACTTCTACTAGTATGTTTTCTCTTTCTACACTAAAACTACACATGTCATATGAGTTTTAAGTTATTTTTCATGTGAGGTTTGAATTAAACCATTTAGCACCAATGGTATTACAACATTAACAAAGATTAACACACAATTTTATTCTATTCTAAATTCTAATCATGATTTTACTTCCAACAGCTATACTGAATTATATATCTAGCACTACCAATCATACATCTAAAGGACTACTGCACTACTAGTAGAGTACAAAAGTATTCCAGTAAGCATATGAACAACTTCCTGCCAATTCTATGGCTAAGATATTAGAAACCTTTTGGAATATCTCCCAACTGTAAAAATGTTGGTTCTATGTGCTACTGATTTCCCTAAGAATACAAAGCTTTGCAATTAAGAATTAAGGAAAACCAAACTATATCATCACTAAGTGACTAGATACACCCAAAGCAAGGAGTAAGAGACTGAGAAGGATAAAAATTGCAGCTCTACAATATTGATATTCTATTTCCATGGTCTGAAAATCTATAAAGTAGTGTAAAAAGGAGGAATCTTCTCTTTATCTCTACTTAGCTACTTGCAATGTTTCCCCTCTATAAGGTATGATAGCCTCTTCTACACTATGTCCAGTAAGATTAGGACGCACCTAGGGCGTAAAGTATATGGCATGTTCAATACTAACTTTTTTTCTTGAGCTAAGGTATTAACGTATTAATATAATATAAGTAAAATAATTGATATAAACTATAACTTTTGAAACTGGACTTTACATTGGCGAATAAAAATATACCTAAAGTTGGCATTCTCATGGAAGTCTACCTTCTACTGTTAGCATCATAAAGAAAGTATGCAAAGTTAGATACTAAATGCTACATATTATATATTTCATAAAAAAAAGTAAGCAAAAATTATCACATAAGTTTGTGTTACTTCTAACCTGTTAGAAGGCGATGAGCGAGCAAAACACTGCATTTTCCTAAACATTTCCTCTTGGCGTGCAACAATAGTATTCAATTGAGAGTTTAATGCTTCTATTTGAGATTGCTGATCTTGTATTTGAGACTGTTGGTCTTGTATCTGAGTATGATGGTTTTCTACCACAGTTTCAGCAACATTTAATCGATTCTGTAAATTATTTTGGGCACTAGCAGCTTCCTGTTTCGCTTTTCTGAGGGAGTCCTCTAACTCTGCCATTTTCCTTTGTGTAGCTCTTGTAGTATTAGGTTTTGGACCATAACCAAGTCCTCTTATGTACCCCGACTTTGTACCAAGTACGGTATCCACAATTTCATCAGTAGTCATGGAAGCCTCTCCCGAAGTATATAGATCTTTCAATTCTTTCATGTTGTCTGCATAAAATATAAATACTATTTAAAGGAGAAGACACAACTTCAGAAGAACATTAATCGAACAAACGCGTTGGATAACCATCCTTACATAGTGAGTCTCAGCCTCTAAAGATGACCATCCTTTCTTACTATTGTAATGAGTATGCTTGTAGAACTCGATTCTGTCAGGCTCTACTTTTTCAGGTTCATTTTCACCCTATGAAATAAGAAAAACAATTGAAATAGTACTGAAGTTTTATTAGTAAAATAAAATAAAAACAGTATAACTTACAAGTTCAGCACGAGCTGCTACAAATGCTTTTGATCCCATGAAATGATTAGATTTAAGCTTAGTTCGATCGACCTTGTTTATGTCGCATTGTTTCTACAAAGAAAATATAAATATCATAACTTTAATAATAACGAGAATAACATGAATTTAAATTACCTTATGTTTTGGTATCGATCCACATGTCACAAAGTCTATTCCAATTTTCTGGGGTCAACTCTGGCACTTCAATTTTACGAGCTTCTTCTTCTGAGCGTGCACTTTCAAACAATTGTTTTAACTTGTAGCGCCATTGTCGGCTTCTGTTTTTCAGAATATCCTCACAACTATCTTTCACGTAATGCTCGTCCAAATTAATCTCAAACCTCTCCTAATTATTTGTTTTTGTAAGAAACATACAAAACGATCAAAATCCCTTTCATATTAAAATAATAATCATCAAAGCTACTAACATACTAATTAGCTTCAAAGTGAAGTTTCCTTAGAAAGGCATAGATTGCAGTTCAAAAAAATTCTTTGCACTGATAAACGTTGCTCTTAACAGCCTATCTACATACCTAAAGTCACTATTTCCTATTCCCAGTGAGGTAATGTTACAATTTGATAAGTTAAGGAGACACTTTCTATGAAAAGGAAATAGAAAAAATCAAAAATTTCATCATATCATGTGGCTCCACATCACTCTTTCTGAATATCTTGGAAGCTTAGGTATTAGAAACATAGCAGGACATAATAGAGCCCTTCTAATGAAATGGCTATGGAGGTTCAACAATGAAGACGGGTGCTCTCTGGAAAGAAGCGGTTTTTGCAAAACCTAAAATACTATCACATTGGTCCACTAATGTATTCATATCTCCATATGGTGTTGGTCCATAGAAGAGCATAGCAAAGCTATGGGATATTTATAAACCAGCAATGCAGCTACAAAAGAAGATAACGACATTCACATTAAAATGGTGTAAACAGAACTGTATATAGGAAGTAGAGGAGTTGGTTGATTTCCTAGGTACTATGTAAAGTTTAGATTTGAATCTCACTCCCCTGTAACATGTTTTTGGTGGTAGCCAGCAGTCCTAATGCTGAAGAATACAATAGTACTAATTCTCAAAAAAAATTAGGAAGGAAAAATAGGTCAAGGAACACTACTCTACAAAGTAACTTTCCTACTCTCTTCTCAATAGCCTCTAATTCAGACACTATTATCTCCCAGAACAAAAAAATAATGCCAGGGCACCATTGTTCAAAATTGAATTTCCAAGACCGGTAACTAGATAGTTTGCTACAATTACTATCCAATCTGGATTGTTGCTGCCTTAATGATCACAACCCATAGAGAATCCAATGGGATATGATGACAAATGGACGATACACAATGAAAGAATGGTATTCGTTATGATGTCCTCACAATTATATGATAGAGAAGTGGCCTTGGAAGCTTATTTGGCATACCAAAGCCCCTCCCAAGGTCAAATACTTCATCTCATGAGGGCAGTGTCACTCAGGACAACCTTTAGGAGAAGGGGCATGACAAAAGTCGATAGATGCTTTACGTGCCAACAAGCTTCTGAGACTAACAGACTGTTGTATTTTTTAAATTTATTTGTTGCTATTTTTTATTTTAGTTGGGTCATGACTGCTAGTTTAAGGATGCCAACATTAGTTGAAAACTCTTTGGAAAAGTTTGATAAATCCATCAAACAAGTTTGAAAAATGATTCCTACTTGTATTTTTTTGGTGTGTGTGGAAGGACAGAAACATAAGGTGCTTTGATGGAATATCAACTTCAATATTTTAACTTAATATAGTTAGGATAGTTTATCCCCCCTTAGACTCTTATGTCAGTCTTTTGGACTTTGTAAACTCTTTAGTCATTTCATGCATAGGAGAATTATAAATGAAACTAAATATAATCACAACCATGTATAAATTTATAAGAGTATAGAATTCTTACATGACATCTAATTAGTGCTGCATCTCTGTCCTCTCTTGTGAGTTCCTTCCACTTGTTTGGAAGCGAAATAAAATTTCGAGCAATTATCCCTAACTCATTGGATAATTTTGCCGATTGAACTGGTTTAGTTGGCCTTTACCAACTGGGATATCTATTTTCATCTTACTTCCATCATTCATATCATGTCTATTGATTATAAGCTTCACATATTACATAAATATCATTGAGTTCCAAAGGTGTAGATCACAATACCTATCCATTTAGTAAAATATTCAACTTGGCCAATAACTAAATAGTTTAATCCTAATCAACATAATAAAATGTATTACCTGTATTAACAAGAGGAGTAGGGTTATTTAATTCATCCAGTGATTGAGTATCTTGAATAGTTTCCCCTGTAAGTATAGCTTGCTTAAAGACACGTCCACCTGGTGCCATTGACTGGCAGAACACTATCAAAACACAATAAGTAATGTTAGAATGTCCATAAGACATAAAATCCATTAGTTTAACAAAATTAGTTAATATAAAAGCACCAACCGTTGACAACTAAAGAAAAATCTAAAAATTTCATAAATCATCAATCTGGAAAATCTCACTCACATTATTTATTAATAAGATTTCACTGTTCTTTCTAATATTAATTGAACTATTGAAGCATCACTAGCATATAAACGAAAAAAGTCCTTTGGATCGGCAGGTTATGACTATGATCACTATCTTTCTATGCAAAAAAAATTTCATTCAGAAGCTATATATGGAAATATCAGGACTTTTTCATAGAGTCCCATGGAGAAGACTAGTATGCCATAACTTGGGAGCACCAAAATGACTCTTTATATTTAGAGTAGCAGCGTTAGAAAGATTGGCTACAATGTTGTGGAAGCACAGCAAAGATGGCCTCTTCTCAGCCAACAGTGCTTACAGAAGAGGTCTCCAGGTGATGGCAGGGAGACCAACACACCTCTGGAACTATTTTTGGAAGGGGGATATTCCTACAAAAGTGAAATGCTTCACTTGGCTAGTGATAAAGAGAGCTTGTTTAACACAAGAAGTACTTCAGAAGAAGGGTAGACAGCTGGTCCCTAGGTGTTTTTTATGCAATTTGACAAGTGAAACTAACAGCCACCTCTTCTTGCACTGTAATTACACTGCTCAAATCTGGAATTTGTTCCTTAGCATCTCAAATCTGAATTGGACAATGCCAGAACGTACATCAAACGTGTTGAAGAGCTGGGTAAGGAGAGGAGGTACCAAGAGCCAGAAGAGATGGTGGAGGTTAATACCATCATGTATATGGTGGTCAGTTTGGAAGGAAAGGAACAGTAGATGTTTCGACAATAGATCCAATTCCATACACAAGGTCAAATGGAATTGTATAGTATCTCTACTTTTTTGGTGTAAACAGTTGTGTATAGTAGATACAGACCAGATTGTAGATTTGATTTTACCAAAAAAAAACTAGCAGATTATGCAGGAAATGTCCAAATTTAAAGGCACAATAACTTTTCTGAGAACTTATATAAGCTAAAGTGTTAAGAAGAGGTTGTAGATCTTATAAATACCAAGCCCCGTGAAGAAATGTCTATTAGTTTTAGTAAAAAAATTAATTGTCCCACAGAATATTCATCTAAAATGATTTTGGTTTAGTTCATTCAAATCCAAGGTTTCATTTCATATCCTAATTCTACATTCCAAGTTCAAGAAGCAAGTTTCACTTTATAGACTTTCATACCATGTTTTCACTACAATCCATCATCTCTTTCCTAAAAAATCGAGGGAAAACATCAATATATGAACAAAACAGAGAAGTTGTTTCAATATATGCCTTGAAAAATGTTATGCTTCAATAGTATGTGTCACACACCAATAGTAAATATGCACACCACACAATGTAATATACTTAGTAATTAGGGTGTTTCTAATTCAGAAACTTATAATTGACTTTTTTATCTTCTGATTGATTGTCGGACACAATAGTAAAGCAATATCAATGTACATGAAACAAATAATCAATGAAAAAATCTTCTGTGGCATATAACTATTTGTTTAATTTTGTTCAAACAAAATGAACAAATCTTCTGCGGCATATAACTATCTGTTTAATTTTCTTCAAACATAAAATAGAGGGGCTGATACATACCTCGTCTTCTTGTTCAGGTTCAAAAAAATTTCTTCACTTTGCAAAGATAAAACTTTTTCGTTTGTTTTCTCATATATATAGTGGTTGTCCTGAAATTGTTTTGGAGCAAAAACCTAAAAAAAGTTAAGCGCCAAAAGACAGTTTCTTTTTCCATTTATCTGCTTTCTGGAGGAGGAAGTGGTGCTACCTATTAACCCAGAAACTTAGGAAGTGGAGAAGTGGGTGATCAATTTTCTTTTATATATAATATTTATCTCTACTTTCATCTAATATTTAAAAAATAAAATTGCACACACAAAATGGCATAAATATCCATATTATTTCAGAAAATAAATTGCACAGAAAAATGTCCAACAATTTTATTTCTAAAAAAAAAATACTGAAGACATAAAGAAACATAAAATTGGTGTCTTACATATTGGGTTAATAGTTTCACCTCCTTCAGCTAGAAACTCAAAACCCTGGATCTTGTATATGCATGAGCATGAAAAATTTTGTCTTCCATGTTGCAAGATTGTTGGTTCCATTTGCTTTTTCATCTTGTATCAAATAGGTCTGAAAGAGAAGTCTCAAATAGACCGAGGTTACTAGCCTTTTTTATCTTCAAGTTTTCGATCCATAAATCTAGTTACCATAGATTGAAGGTGTTAAAAAGCCCAAAAATATTAGATGGACATAGATGCCATTGATGTAGAAAATTATTCTGGTTCTCGTCTCCTCCACAAATGACATGCTTGCTGGTATGCTTCATATCAAATATGCTTTCAGACAATTGTGAAAGGGAGTAGTAATGGCAAAAAAGGTGCCAAAATTATTTATAACATTGTAGACATGAAAACCCCTTTTAAGAGTTTTTGGGGTCCAATACAGAACTACTATTAAGCTTGACAAAGATACATCGAGATGGCTTTAGCTGAATGCTCTTGAGGTTACAGCATCAGGAGTTGTCTGAATGCATGATGAGAAAGCCACTGAATGTTCTTGAGGCAGTGACTTCTTTTGGGGAGAAGAAAGGAGATGACCTCTTGGGGAAAGGATTCCCAAGAGTGAAAAGGAACCATACCTTGTTAATCTTCA